GCTGAAATATCACCCACACTGTTAAACTGTGAAAGTACCTAGTAAAAACAACAGTATTCACAGACCGAAAACCCACAAGCCTTTGATATAGAAGCAGACCCTTCTTAATTGAAAGGCCTCTACCTGTTAGTGCCTTCTGTTCTAAACATTTTAGTTGCAGTTAGTCCACAATTTCTTATTCACTATTTAGTTAATACTAACCCATCAGATAAAAGATGAGTCTAACCTCTGCTAGCAAAATACAAGCCACAAAAATCCACCTGAATTAGACTCATTTTAATTTGGGGGCAGGGGAAGCTTTTTTTCCCTTTACAAAGCAAGTAACCTTCAGATCACAAAAAAAAAGCAACAGCATATCAAGCTTAAGAGGTTTCTCATGTATTTATTTAAAAACTAAAGTCATTTCAGTGTGGGCAGGAATTCTAAGACACCTATGCATCTGAGTTGGGACAAGTGTGGCATTTCCAGGCGTCTTCATATAAGGAAAAGGGGAAGGAAAAACAAAGAGACAGGAACACTCTTGTTATATCCAACTCGTCATCTGCTATTAAGACTCAAAAGGAAACTAAACAAGAAACATCTCACCTCAAGATTTAATTCTCACCAGGTTACAACGTAGCACGCTATCAACCCATTTCAGTCTCAGGTTTAGGTTTGCTATGCTCTGTAAAAAGAATCATGGATGGAATTACAAAGTAGACTTATTTAATTAATGTAGAAAATTTATCTCTGGTAAATACATTTTAAGATCTCGCCTCACAGTCGGAAGCTACAAAATTGACTAATGTATGTAATATTCAATCAGATGAAAGATATACAGCAGCCTATCCCTCTCCCCTAGTCTTCTCTCTTCTCTTTTGCAAGAAAGAGCAAGCAGCAACAGGGAGTTAACTGCTCAAGATTTTTTAAGCATACATCCTTACTGGGTTGCAGCTAATACAGATCAGTTCTGACATCTGGTTTGTCACATATACCACAAGTATGTTGTGCCGAGAACCAAGAAAGGGTATGGAAAAGAGGGAACAGAATGAGCAGGCAAGAGTGAGAAACAGTTCAGTAACCATTGCAGCTAAAAAGTGTCAAAAAACAGCTTGAGGTTCCTTATGAAGTAATTTGAAACATGGAGAGAATTTTTCTAAAGCTACAACTACCTCCTCTGGAATTCATTTTCCAGAATAGATAGGCAGTTTCTAAGACATACTACTGAAATTCAGGAAGTCAGTTTTGTTTGAAATACTTAATCCCATAGCACCTTTAACACTCGGGCCATCATCCCTCAGAGCCAAGCTTAGGACTGTTCTATAGCCTTAAGCCTACCGATACATCTGGCATCAGTGGCATTGCTCCTTATACCATTCATTAGCTCAAGGTCTTCACTTGAGCATTTACAGGCATTAGACTTCAAACAAAGGAACTACTCTTCTCCTCCAGTCTACAATCATGAACAGCAGCTCAGGAATTCCAACAAGAAATTTCTACATGACTCCTGTAATGTCTTTGAGGAGTAAGGCAAGCACACATAACTAGAGTATTAAATGGCCTTATGATTTGTGATTCAGAGAAGATTTCACACTATCAGACTAAGACATCTAACCTGAAATCTGTGCCCTGATACTCTGAAAATACTGTTTGGTAACATGTCTCATTAAAAGAAAAATATTTCAGAGGCATTGCTTCAGCTGCTGATTCACAACAGATGAAAATTAGTACTGTAACACTTATTTCCTAAAGTGTTTAAAACAAACAAATGCTCATTTGCCTCCAGTTATAGGTCCAGAGGTAAGACACCTCTTAACACCACCTTTCTCTTACAGGCAGAGGCAATAGAGTCTTTTGAAAATTAAGTCACCAAAAATTGTGTTAGAAAAATTCCAATCTATATCACTCAAAATATCTCATAGTTTGGGGTTTTTTTTCTCCAGGGTGGTGGGAACCAGCACTACGACTAGTAATAGTTTTAGTAGCAACTATTCCCAATCTTAGTCTGGCATTACTGCCCAGAATATTATCAAGGCCAACACAGTGATAATAGAACTTTTCACCCCATAAAATACTTCATTCCTTTTTCTGCTGATAAGAAAATGGTGAAAAGAATTCAATGCCTTCAATACTTTTGCTCTTTTCTATATGTGTATACACATGCATATATAAATACATAATTTATATCAACAACATCAATAAAACAATGTTCGTAATCTGTGCAGAACTACCAGTCAGGAGCAGCCAAGCAGAGCGTAATCAGAGTAAACCAAGAGTGAAATCCCAATCCAAGACCTGATGTAAGTTATTTAAAGCATGGTTGAACTACATATTTTTTCACTGCACTGAAAAAAAGAGTACAGTGTAGACAGCTAAATTCCTAACAAAATCTATGATGCCCAAGTGATTCATGGATTTCCTGCAGGTGACTCATTAGTGCTTTCACTTCAGAGAAAAAACCACAAGAAATATCTTGTAAACATAGACATCCTTCAGACTAGGGCCAACCTCAGGCTTTGCTTATAGCAAATATTTACCAAGTTTTTCTGCCTTTTTTTAATTAAAGCTGTTCACGATTCAAAGAGGTCAGAAATACAACTTTCAAAATTAGCAAATTTCTGAACTTGCCTTTATAGTTGAGGGAGGAGAACATTATAAAGCTTAGCATCAGATTTAGATTCAGACCTATCATATAAAGCAATACTTTGCAAGGTTTGCCAGTATTATGTATTTCAATCCATGAATGTACAAAGATTAATTCAGAGCAGCCTCTGTGGGACAGAATAAAACTAAGGCATCCAGAACCAAGTAAAGATACAGAGTTAGATTATAGCCTTTTGACGGACTATTAAACATGTCAATGAACACAAGTTATGACTTTGTTTATTTTAATATGGGAGTGACTCATCACACAGTAATCTATTTACTCATTTCCGGTCAGTGGCCTTGATTATAAATGGTCAAATGTAATAAAAATCAAACTTGAGGATATTCAGCTTTGTCTTAATACAAGCAAGAGCTATCGATCCAAGCAATACTTCTTGTGAGGGAACTGTTTCCTTCATGGGTTTACTTTCAACATACTAAGGTATTTCATTTCACAGCTCTAGTGCCCACTTTCAATAAGATGATCCACAGACAGGGTTTGAAAAACTAAACTATCAACAGATGGAAATGGGAAAGCGTGACTAACAATCAGAGTTTCAAGCAGACTGAGAGACTTCAATATCATATCACCTTTCATTAATCTATAGGTCACACACAACAGGGATCACATTTATACTGGCTGAAAATTTAAAGGTAGGCTAAGGACAAAATGCTGCTGAACACCATGCAGACAGACTGCTGGGTGCTGGCAAAGCCTCCATGAAGTTAAAGGACTTCAAGAAAAAAAAAAAAATCACAGCAATGGCTGCCTGAAAACAAGTGATCAACCCTGTTAAAGTTAAAGCTTTCAAACAACAATCTCCTAGAACTACTGTTCACTAGTTTGAGCTTTTATTACTCTGGGTCAAGTAAGAGCTTTTGTGCCTATGCAGATGATTATAACTATAGCAAATCTAAAACGGGGCGGGGGGGGGGCCCATGAAAACATGGATTTCATTGACTAGCAGTATTGTTTGCTAGCTTGACATCAAGTATTTAGTAAGATGAATTATATTATCAGAGTATTACTAGACTTTCAACGATAAGTGAAGCTGCTAGACAAGAATAACTCATGTTAATTTGAGGCAGAGTGTAATTTTATCTAAGAGAAACAAACAAATTGCACTGACAAGACATGACTCAAGTATAAAAACAACACAAGACCAGTATGAAAAACAGTTCTTTGGACAAACACAGGTAACAATAGTATTTTATGTTTGCGTATAGTTTTCCAGCCTTTTAGAAAAAGCTCATGAAACGTACCATACACAGATAGCAAATCCAGTCATATGCATGCTTAACTGGCTTTTTTGGTATAAAATGGACCACAATTTTAGAAAGCTGTAACATCTGTGCAACCAGCCACATGTTTGGTGAAACATCCTGCTCTTTGTTTTTAACTTACAAGCCGGCACACTATGGTCCTTTACATCTAAGGTACGTATATTACTCAAAGCAATCTAATTCCTAAGGATGGTATTTCATTTTATAGACACCTTTACTGACTAACCTCCCAGATAGGATATTATAATTACCATTGTTTCAAAATTTCCGTTAACACAACTCACTCCACCTACAATTTTTGTTCCCACTACCTTCTCCACAGCTGATATTAAACCACATAGCTCCCCGCTGTAATTGTCACTTATACTACCTATAGTTACTAAAAAAAAAAAAAATCTGAGAGCAACTCGCAAGTGTAGGCACCTGTTCAATTTCTCCTCAAAAAGGAGAATACATTTTTTCGAAGACGCAATCAACCATTTATCAGAAACACGGGCGAGCATCACTTATATAAGGCTGGCACCAACACAAGATGGCCCTTTCTTATTTAGCGATGCTCCCGTAAGAGTGACCGGGTGCATTTCAACACCACCAACTATTCCGGTTCGGCACGGGGAGCTCCCAGGGGCAGCCCTCATCTTATTTCGCGGAGAAAACAAACACAGGGTGCCAGAACCGCAGCCCCTCGGTCCGCAGACGGTCCGCGTCTCGCTGGGGGCCGCCAGCGCCGGGACACGCGTGACCCCCCGCACCGCCGCGGCGGGGACGGCGGTCACACACGCCACCACCCCCGCCCGTGGAGGCCTCAGCCCCCACAGGACCGACCCGCGGCACCTCCAGGGAGACCCTCGGCGTACGAGCCCTGCCGCCCCCGGCCCTCACCCGGGGGGCTCGGCGCCGCCACCGGGCGCTCTGGGCGGCCGTCGGGGTGGTCCCCGCCACCGCCCTTCCCCTCAGCGACCCTCAGTCAGCCGCCCCCCCACTCCCGGTCAGGGCACCCCGGGCGGGTGGGTCCCGGCCCGCCCTTCCTCACACAGGAAGCGGGCAGGGAGGCGCGCCCCGGCCCCGGCCCCGCCGCGGCGGGGGCTCACCGGCTCTCAGCTGCAGGCTGCCGTCCCTCCGGCTGCACCACAGCGCCCGCTCCCCGCTCTGCAGGATGTAGTGGTCCTTGGCTTGGAACAGCTCCATCCTCGCACGCCGCCGCCGACCGACCGACCGACCGACGCCGCCGGGAGGGAGGGGCGGGCGGGCCCGCCCGGCCCGGGGGG